TGTTCAAATAAGAAAAGCAATCTGTAATATGATCCAAATTTTATTTTTTAGTATTAAATTAACATAGGACTACCATATTTCAAAATGTCAACGAGTTTCTCAGAAACAGAATCATAAAGCTGCTTTTGCTTTGTGATTTTCCTGGATATTTTTATATTTTATTTTATAATATAGAGAAACATTTAAAAACTTAGGGAAGATTTTCTGAGATTAGTAAATAAACCCTCTACACACTAAGGGGAAGCAGGTATCCAGAGAGCAAGACCTGAATGATAGACGTTATATTTTCCATGAACTGACGAGAGTAGTAAATATAACCCTCCCGCAGTATGATAAAAATAGGAGTTTCTCTTCATGCCCTTGTACTAAGAACCTGTGTTATGAGCTATAACAAGGCAAGCAAGTGTGTGAGGATTCTTCTCTTTGAAAGTTTTATTTTTATTTATTTACTTTTTTACAGAAGGTGTCTCACTCTGTCACCCAGGCTGGAATGCAGTAGTGCAATCATAGCTTACTGCAGCCTCTAACTCCTGGGCTCTAGCAATCCTCCTGCCTCAGCCTCCTGAGTCCGGGATTATAAGTGTATGACACTGTGCCCAGGCTGGCTTTAGAAGCTTCTCCACGTGGGGCCTGCTGACTGCTCATCACTGGCAATGCAACTGTGCTGAGGATCTTCTACTTGCCTCCCCAGGTGCACTCTGCCCTGTCTGCACCCTATTCTGAGCCCCACTGTCTGGCCTAAAGGGATGGCTTATGGTGGCTCCCAGTTCTCTGACTTCTCTTCAAGTTTGGCCAATGGGAATGATGGCAGCAGACTAGAGAGTAGGAGGAGAAGTAGTCAGGCTGTGTCTGCCCCAGCTCCCAGCCTGGCATGACCCCAGGGATTGGCCACCTCTCTCTACTGAGGGCCACAGGTCCCGTCCAGCAGCCCTCTCCTTGCCATCCAGCTTCTCTCTGAAGTTCTTAGTTTCCTGAATAGCTACTCCTACCCTTGCTCCTTCAGGTCTAGGAGTGGTAAGAGCTTCTTATTGTTACTGGCCCCAGAGCAGTTCTCTCTCTCTCTCTCATTGTATATCCTGAACTCTGCCCACACCTTTGTGAATAATAAACACCCCTCAAATCACCCAATTCGAGTGTCACCTGATTCCAGACAGGACCCTGATTGATATAGTAATATGTGTAATCATCCTAGAGAAAATAAAGTTTAAGTATATTTGCACTACATAAAACAAAAGGAAAAAGGGATCCAATGTGGTTTAGAAAAATTTTTTATTTGAGTTTAGGATAAATAGAAGTTTAGCCCTATGCCACCACCATGCTTCAATTACCTAGAACATCCTTGCGTTTGGGCAAGTTGCTAACTCTTATATAACTTCACCACATAGTATAGGATAGTGTATTTAGAAGTGGAATAGAAAGGAACGCTGATTATCCTATCAGACAAATCACTTTTGCCACACATCCAATTTAAAGGTAGACATTTTCCTCCTAGGTCCACCTTGTATCTTATCACAAAACAACTTTTCACCTTGTTCAGTGATTGGGTTTTATGTTAACCCCAAGTCTCACTTAGTACTCTGGTTTACTGGATCCAAATGTGTCTGGTACACAGCATAGAAAAGATAGCATTAACTCACCATGAGTGTATAAACCATTTAAGGATCTGAGGAGCCCACATAAAAAAGAAAAGTCCTAAAAAAAAAAAAAAAGCAAGACCATCCCACAAGTTTGTTTCAATACCAACATCCTATATTCATTAGACAGAATTCTGAGAGCAGCACAGGGTTTGTCACTCAGATTATCCCAACCCCATCACAAGGAAAAGGCGAACAAAATGATCTCTTCCCTCAAAACTACTGCGAAGCATTCTAATCACAAGGCAGAATCACACTGATAATGTAAGAAAGCACAGCACAAGAGACGGGCAAAACGATTCTATTTCATTTGAGCAGAGCAATTCAGGCACAGCACTAAATTAGCACCGTGAGCCCCCCCTCCCCCACCCAGCAGGAGAGAGATGGGCTCCAGCACCTGCAGGAGTACCTCGAGTGCCAGCTCTGGATGGTTGCTGGTGCTTCTCTCAACGGGCACATCGCTAAGGCTCCAAGAGCTCACAGACAGGCCCTTGGTGGTGGGCACAGTTTCACTGGAATGACATCAAGGCATCAACTGCCAAGGGAGGCGGTAGTCACAGTGTCAGCAGCTGCACATGATGCTGGTGGCTTTGGGAGTAGTGGGAGTGTGCCACGTTGGCAGTGTGCACCAGTGATAGTGGTGAGCTCCCCTCGCACGGCTGGGAGGACTCCAAAGCCATAGTTTGAAGGGGTAGCTTCTCTTATAAGAACTCTTTTCATGCTCATCTTAAACAAAAGTGAATTTAAAGTATTAGGTGATTGATTTCTTAAGCCCTTAGAAAGAGTATTGAATGGTAAGTTCTGAATAGAGGGAAATCAGAGCTATGGCAAGTCCAAAGTGGCCAAGGGCAGCACAAGGACAGTGCGGGCTCATGACAAAGCCAGCATCTTTCCCCCAGCTCTGCTGAGGACTGGGCTTGGTTGTCAACAGCACAGAACTCCAACAGCATACATGAAACAGGAGTACTAGAGTCTCAGCCTCTCGTTTCACTAAGTCAACGGATAATGCACTTCAGGAAAAATGAACACGGAAGATGTAAAAGCACAGGACTTGGAACACCTGGAGCTATCTCAGATCTAATTTCTGTCTCTGTGTTTCCTTATAGAGTGACAAATTTTGCATGTTTCCTTAAGGGAGGGGAAACCAATGGAAACACCATAAAATGTGTTCAATTATAAACCAATGCTTATAAGACTCCAGTTTTTCGAATAACAGAGTTTAAGAAAATTACAGCAAAAACATTAACTTTCTCAAAATTAGCAATAAATGGCGAGGCAACCATATACTAGTATCTAGTAATGGGGTAAAAAATAAATTTCTTGTGTGCATGGAGTATCAGATTTTTCTTTAGAACTCTTCCCACCTTCCCCTCAAAGTATATCAGCAGATTAATGAGCATCTAGAAGGTTCTCAAGGAGCTGGGCACTAAACCTGGGAGTGCAGTAGTACAGCACGGGGAGCCACAGGCCTTCCCCAGACCATGGCCCCTCTCTCACTGTGTAAGGCTGCTGCAGGGCCCACGCAATAGAACTGTCCTTATTAGCCCCTTCCTTCCTCCTGTTTTCCCCCACGTCATTTGAGACTTTAAGAAGCTCTGAGAATAAATTTTATTATATTAAAAAAGACTTGATTATGACATTCCCCTGAGCCTATGAAAACGAAGAATATAGAAAGCAAAGACCAAGGAATATCTTTAGAGGCATAAACACTCCCAAAATATTACTTGAGGTAGATTCAGAAACCACTTGTGACTTTTATTTCCTTCTCTACTCAGCAAATGCCCATTATCACAAGGAAGATTGGCACGATACACTGGTAGGGGCAAGACTAAAATCACCAATATTTAGAAATAAGGAGCAGGCATGGTGACTCACATCTGTAATCCTGGCACTTTGGGAGGTCAAGGCGGGAGAATCACTTGAGGCCAGGAGTTTGAGACCACCATGAGCAACACAGCAAGACCCAACCCTACAAAATTTTTTTAAAAAAAAATTAGCTGGGTGTGGTGGTGCACACTGGTAGTCTCAGCTACTTGGGAGGCTGAGGCAGGAGGATCACTTGAGCCCAGAAGTTTGAGGCTGCAGTGAGCTATGATTACACCAGTTTGTGTGACAGAATGAGAATCTGTCTCAAAAAAATAAAATAGGAATAAAACCCCACAGAATCCTGGTTTTCTATTAAAGCAAACTTTAGTACTTTTAACCACTCACAGATGCCAGATCACAAAAAATAAATAAAAAATACTCAGCATCTGGTTTGATATTGCAACTACAAGCATTCTAATTTTGAAAAATCTTATGTGGGCAAGAAGACTTAAACAACTATATATACTTTCATTAAGGATATGATAGTTTGAACTTTGAAAGTCAAACACTGCAGAAAAAATGCTCTGAAGTAACTAACATCTTGGGGAAGTCATTAATTGCAATTGTGTAAATGGAGGATAGGAATGATCCCAGGTTTCAACTGCCAACCTGTTCTCAATCACTGGAATAATTTAATGATATGACAGAAAAACCTAGTGAACCACCCAAACTTTGACTCATTCATGTCTATCAATGAACAGGAATGAAAAGAAGTATTTTTCTATAACCAAGTAGATAGACCTTATTATACATACATACCTAAGACAACCAACAAAATAAAGATAAGCCATATATAGATAATCTCCAACTATCAGGAAGAAGGCAAAGAGGTTTCAGAGATACATACATACATCTCCAATTTAGATATACTTGTCCTCAAATCTTTTGGTATTTTTAAAAATTTTGCATGAAACTTTCACTTAAAGAGTAACAACATCTAGATTCCCATTCCATCTAGATTCCCATTCCATTTAAATATACCCAAGTAAAGTTCCTGGGAAAGTTTCCAGAGAGTTAGGTTGCTTTAAAATTGGCCATGCATTAAATAAAGCTTTGTCTAACCAAAGTGAACGAGTAACCGATATGGTATCTGTACATTCGCTCTGCACAAGGTTCCTTTATCTCAAAAGCATTACTTAAAGACAAACAACAAATCAGATTACAGCTCTGGAGAATCATACTCTGCCTCTTCCAGCAACATTGCCAGCTCACAAACATTATATGAGGACCAACCAGCGGCTTCCTGGGGGATTTGTAATCTATCTTCTCCATCAGTTCCCCAAGGGTTCTCCTACTTCATTCATTCCACGGCATTCATCTCTAAGAGATTCGTTAACAAATGCAATGGTTCACTTCAACAGCAAAGCCCAAAAGAGACGCCTTCGGCGTTACATTTTATAATGAAACAAAATCCCAAATTCTGAGAGTCTACTAATCTAGGCCTAAAAGCCACTGCAGGAAGAGATTCATTCCCGGGTCCCTGGTTTCTTTTCACATTACCTGCTTCAGTGTACTTCAATCCCACTTTTTCTTCCGTGTCTTTTGTCTTTGGGGGTGGCCAGACAGCTTGGAGCCTGCCAGGAGTCCTATCGTCCTGCTCAGTGGGGCTCTGGTCAGGCTGTTGAAAAAGCAGGCAAAGAAAAAGTTAAATAAAATGTGGCCAGATCCAATTAATTCCTAAAAACAAACATGCTAACCCTGATTCTAAAATTAATTTTAATGGCCAGATGCACATTGCTCTCATTCACTGTAACTGAGATATCTTACTATAATATGATCCTTTTCCAAAAATGTAAGGTGATCAAAGTGAAAATTTTAAATAACAAAGACAAAACAACAAAAAGCTCAAGGCTAAGTATATATATCATACCCTTAATAGATGATTTTTATTATATAACTATCCTAAAAAAGCACAAACACACTTTGAGCTGAAGATACAGAGAACAAATGTACTACATTCAGGTACTTTTACAGGAATGTTTACAAATGTATCCCAAACAACTCCAGGGTTATTTATAATATAAAGACTAATTTTGCATTTTCCATGAGCATTACCAAGACACATTTCTGAGCACCCCACATTGCTAATTTCAATTTTTTCTTTCCTATAAAGTATGAATAAGATTGCCTTCATATTCACATTATTTTTATAGGAGTTGATTTTTAATACTAGGAGAATGTTATATTTAGTTTTTAACTATAACCAAAGATAATTTTGCCAAAATCTTTCATTTTTAAAATTTTAATTGCATATATTAAATATATGATAGAATGATACTAAGCAAGAAATTCTATTCATTGTTCTTATGAAACTTTAAGATCTACTGGACAGGTGCTTGCTAGTCTTTATAAATTACCTGAGGTAGTTTTCTTTCGATGATAATAACAGAGATAGCATCAATTAGATGCCTCTCATGTGTTACCTTCATTTCATCTCCACAACCACCATATAAGGGTTATTTTCCTCATTTTGCACCTGGGGAGATAGGGACTCAGCGATTATCCAGGTCACCCAGCCAGTAAATGGCAGTTAGAATTAAAACTCAGGCCTCATTCTAAATCCAGTACTCAATCAGGAAGTCTCCCAACCAACGTGGAACATGTTAATCACATCACAGACACATATTTTGCCAAGTGGTATGCTTTCAAAGGAAAGATATAGTTTCCACGGAGGTATAATTAAGTGGTGAGGAAACCCTGTAAACCCAAGCTATACTTCCACATTGCATCACTTCCTCATGCTGCTTGGTTTTTATAAGTACATTTACTATTAATGTTTAAACTCAGCGTGACAGTTACCCTTTCCTGCCTGTACATCTTTATGTACATCCCTCTTATAATATCTCGGAAAAATACAAGGAAGAATGAAAAGCACTTCTGTCCAACTCCATACTCCTTACAAGGACAATATAATTTCATCATAATCATTTTTCACCTAAAAAAGTCAATAACAATAGGCAACTGGGATTCCCTTTTGGCAGGAAACCTGAAAAAAAAAATACAGCAGCACCCCATTTCATGACAAAAATGCAAAATGCAATTCTACATACGCTTTTGGAATCACAGGAGCTATCCGCTGGCTTTGACTTGGACCGTTCAAACACAGCTCTTAGGGACTCCTTCTCATGTCTCATCTTGCGCTTGAGAGCTTCCAGCTCAGAGGTGTCCGCTGTGGTCCCCTTTTTGGGGGGACGGATGAATAAGGCTTTAAAGGCCTCCAGGGCAGTCTCCGGTGGTTTTGGTTTGATCTCACTGTCCTGGGTTTGGGCTTCTCCAGAGCCGCTCTGGCTGTCCTGGTCAGCACTGCAGCCCATCTCTTCTTTCCTGAGCGACTCAGGGTCTGCTGCCTTCGGTTCGGTTTTGGACATGTCAATGCTGAGAAGCTGAGAGAGCTGCTCCAGCAGAGTGGGAGTGGCCTTCGGATCAGTTGCTTTCTCCCCACTCCTCACTGTCTGTGGCCCTAGGGACTTCTGCACAGGCTGGGTCAATTTGAGCAAAGCCAGGTCCCCATCCTTTGGTTTAATTTCAGTGATGGTCTCCCCTCCCTCAGCTATAGCCCCCTTCCTCAGCACACGAAGCCCACTAAAAAAAGCTGGAAGCTGGAATGACTTCTCTCCAGGGACTTCTCTTTTAGAAGATGCATTCTCTGTGATATCAACACTCACATTCTGGTCTGTTACTGCAGGTAAGACTTGAGACCCTTTTTCAGCCTGGCCCTGGCTGGGGCTGTGCTCTGTCTGAAGGCCACCATGGCCAGATTCCAGTTGGCTATTTATCTCAGGTGGAGTCCTTTGAGAATCTTCTGCACAGAGCTCTGCATCATCTATTTCCCCGGTGGCAATACTTTCTCTGGGATCTCCTGGTTTTTCTTCAGGATCCTGAGATGGTTCAGATAAAACAATACTGGGAGACTTTGGGCCATTGGTGCTGCTTCTCTCCTCTGGTTCCTGGCCACCGTCATCAGAATCGGAATCACTGGTGGTGTGCACCAGGGTCCCACGGACCCAAATGACATCGTCTGTGGTCACACTCAAAGCAGTGAGTGGAAGGAGCTCTTGACCAGGAAGAGAAGTCCCTGCTTCAGCTTTCCTCTGACTTCCCTCCGACTCTGTCTCCACAGTCTTCCCATCATTTCCAAGGTCAGGTGGAACCCGAGCCTTTGCCTCCTCCTGCCCAGGTATGGGATCTGCGCCTAATTTGTGGAATGCCTTCAGCACAGCATCTTCCTCTTCAGGATTCACAGATTCCAATTTACTCGTAAATCCAAACAAGGATTTCATAGAGAACTTACTCAGGATCGACTGAGCCATTTCAAGTCCGGCTGCGGGTCTGTCCGGTTCCGAGACATCACTGCCATTCAGAGATTCGCCAACCTCCTCCATGTCTCAGTAACACCCGTGGTGGAAGTTCCGACTCGTGTTACCTTCCCCTGTACTCTCAGTTTATCCACTCCATCTGCTCTTAATTTACAGGACAGAAAGCAACAGGACCCGAGAGTCAGGCTCTCAGCCACACCGCGAACACCCTTGGTCTCTTTCAGGTCACTGTGTCTTCCTTCCGGTTTGCGTGATGATGGTGTGCCCAGGGCGGCTGTAAAACGCCTGTGGAGCTCAACACCCAGAGGCAGCCGAGCTGTGCACCTTACTACACACAGACGGGGAGGCTGCTCTTCTGGGACTTCCGTATTTATTCCGGTGGACAAAAGGCTTTTTGTCATAGGGAAAGTCAGCCTGCCCAGTAATCCCAGCCCAGGACTTCATGAGGAGCTCCGCCCCAGGGCCGGCCGGCGGTTCTCCTGGTGGCATTCAACTTCCTCATTGGTGAGCCAGTGGAGGCTCCTGAAAGTGCTGAGCCGGCAAGCTGACCCTGACAGCCCTTAACCACTGCCTGGAGCAGCCCAAGGAATTCAGAAGTGAATCAGCAGAAAAGGACTGAAATACTCCTCAGACAGGCCCTCTCTTCCATTTGGATTATGATCAGATACCTGGGCCATCCAAGCCAAAAAACCAGCAGTGCGCACAGATCAACAGCCACTTACAAAGCCCAGATCAAAGAAACGAAGGAAAGAAATAGATCATCTCAAAATGACCAGAACTCTCAAAGCAGTTAATTTACTGCCCTTGAAGCTCTTTTTTTTTTTTTTAAGTGCTTTCTTCCGCTTCCCCACAGGTCTCATCTGGAATGCAGATTTTTAGCTGCCAAGTCAGAGAAGGAAAACCAACACAACTGGTTTCAGATTACTGCTGTTTTAGCTCTGCCCTGGCTGTCTCCGTGCTCTGCAAACAGGTACTAGGCAAGCACGCCCACCACGCCCAGTGTGCAGCAGCCATAGGGTGGCAGAGTAAACAGCCCTGGCGCGGCAGGAATGATTATCCTCCACACTCCCTGTGCCAACCGCAGGCTTCTTTCTGTTCAGCAGCTGTGATGTGCTGGCTTCCTTAGGAATCCTGGCAGCAGTGGGACTCCCTTCTCCGCTTTGGCATTCCAACCAACTAAATGAAAGTTGGCATGACACCACATAACACACAACCTGCCTTGTTAGGCAAAGCAATTCAAAGGTCCCCAAGGATCCACATTCCCCTAAAGGGCAAAACATCTGAAAGGTCTCTTATCGGTAAAGTCTCTATCACAGACCCAATTTTCCTAAAACAAAAACAGGACAGACAAAACAACCTCCAAACATCAGCTCAATGTCGTTTCCAGGACTCTGATTATATGCTGGGAACCTGGCAACTAAGGATGTGGGTGAAAAATTGTAGCTCTGTTTCCCAGCTGCATAGCTGCCTCTTGGGATGGCTTCCTGTCCTACCTGAAGGTCTGTTTTTCAGTTCTGGTCCAGTGTGCAAGGCATGTGATGAGCAGCTGAGATGGACAGGGCATTGTGCCGGATCAGGAGGAAAGTCAGATTGGCTTAATAGTCATTGCCAGCTCTCTTGGAGCAAAGCTCCAAGAAGATTGTGGTCAAGTGTTATACACAAACAGCAATTTCTTCTGCAAAATGGAAGCTCTAGCCACAAGTAAAATGACAGTCTTGCTTTATCTGCAGCAAGGAATGGCTGTATGTCATACATTGCTAACAGTACTAAAAACAATATTTGTAAGTATTAATAGTGGAAACATACATTTCTAGCAATGTGTTGAAAAGGAATCCTCATGCAAATAAAAAGGTATACATATCATGACATCCCACTATGGGAAATTTAAGAGAGCATTTTCTAAACCCTGATTTAATCTTGTATCGGAATTGATACTGTCCTGTTTGCTCTTGATCGTAGTATATTTTGGGATTATTAACTGAGGCACACTCAATCAAAAAGCCACCTGGACAATGCAGAAAAATTCAATGGTATAATTTAAGTCTCAGAACAAGCTTCCTGTCTAGAAAAAATGCCCACTGATAAAAATCAAACTTCTGCTTCTTCAAGATTGTGGAAAGAAGGAATCATTACACCAGATCATAAGATCTGTCTTCTTAACAGCTATGCAGACAACTTGATGTAGGGGGTGGGAGGAGACATGGCACATATTTGGTGCTGTTTTCTTTTTTTTAAGAGAGAAGCCTCCATTTTGTCAGACATAACTAATTATTGATTTCCAGAAGAAATTTCCAGGTCTTGCAACAGATTTGGGCAAAATGGGACATAGGCAGGAAGGGGCTGTTGGCCCTTTTTATACCATGAAATGATATAAAATTATAAAGTTTAAGCATCCTGTCAATACTCACAGATGAACACAGTTTCACAGAAAATGGGGCAAGTCTTTGGTTCCAAGAAATTATTTGATTTCACCCCCTTGGCTTTAGCTCAGTAAGATATTATGATGATCATTTTAAAAGTTAAGCACGCACAGCTGAGAGAAGGTTACCGACCAAAGTTACACAGCTAGTAAGTTGGTAATATCATCATCTAACATTTGAGTATTTACTAGGTGCCAAGCACTGTTTTAGGTGATCCACACATATTAACTCATTTGATACAAATACCAACTATATGAGGTTGGTATTATTATTCTCTTCTTCCTGCTAGGAAACCAAGGGACAGAAAGCTAAAATAGCTTGCCTACGTTCACAGAGCCAGTGAATGGTGGACTAGAACTTTCATCCAGGCAGTCAGGCCTCAGAATCCACATTTTTAACCACTACTCTAAAGCCCAGAGCTCCACTTCCTTCCCTAATAGAATGACACACACAGCTAAGTCTTGAAGTACAAAGGTGTTTCACAGCCAGTTCATTGGTGGTTTCTAAGATGTGAATGACACTTTGTCTTCTGTGATGATACAGAAGACAACTTCACAAAAAAATCTGAGAATGACCATTCTTTTCTCCTGTGTAACTTAAAAAAAAAAAATCCAGAGATGTTTCTTAGAAGAAAAACAAAATAATAATAATCAAGAAATCCAGTAACGCCTAGCTGACTTGTCTACTAACCATAGATAACACACAGAATCCTCTGGGCTCGAACATGTCAAGAGATCTTCCAGCTTACCCATACCATTCTCCTCCATTTATAAGCATGACTCTGGTTACAAAGACATACTCATCCAATATCATTAATGAGCACCAACTGTGAATGAGGCTCTGAGGATACAAAAATGAAGATACCCCAGCCCTCCACTGCTTGAAACATAGTTTAGTAGGGAAACCAGCCAAGACAAAGGTGACTCTTTTGTCATACACTGTAACCAAGGACTTTGTACGCCACACTCAGTCTGAATAGCAATAGTTGAACCTAAAACAATTTGGAACGAAAGCCTGCATTGAAGATGAGTAAGAAAGATCAGCATCGTAATCTTTGAAGATCTTTTAAGTGTTGACTCTTTCGGGCCACTGGTTCTCTTGACTATGAGAAATGTTACCACTTCTGGTCACTTGGGGAATTGAAAAGTGTTTCAGATTATAATGCTCAAATAAGCAACCTACAAATTTGACGTAAGTTGGCTGGTCTTGAAAAATGAATCTATTTAAAGCTTTAACACTTTCAGGGGAGAGAACAATAACTTCTCTTGGACATTATTTATCTCAGTGTCTAATTATATGCTGAAATATTTAATGAGCACCTATACACAAAACCAGTAGAAGCCAACATTTTCATCCTTTACAACCTACTACAAGCTCAGCTGATTCTCTTTTGTTCTAACCTCAAGACACTTAAACTCTCTAATAGCCACATCTGTGCAAAAGGCCAGATTAAAAATGATCCACTTCAGATAACTACAGTTTACACTGATTGAAAATACAGTATTTGGGAGATTAAAAACTGCCTATATGGAGAGTCAGCCTCATGTACGTAGGTTCTGATTTGGGGACTTGAGTATGTATGGATTTGAGTATATGCAGAGGAAGGGGAGCCTTGGAACCAACCTCCCAAGTACCCCAAGGACGACTGTAAGTGAAAATACACATATAATTAGGTAGCATTTGACCCATATGATTTTCTTTATAACTATTTGTTAAATAACAATCAGTACCAGGCTGGGCATGGTGCCTCATGTCTATAATCCTAGCACTCTGGGAGGCAAGAGGATTGCTTGAGCTCAGGAGTTCAAGATCAGCCTGAGCAAGAGCGAGACCCCATCTCTACTAAAAATAGAAAAGTTAGCCGGGTGTGGTGGTGTGTACCTGTAGACCCAGCTACTTGGGAGGATGAGGCTGGAGGATTGCTTGAGCCCAGGAGTTCCAAGGTTATGGTGAGCTGTGATCATGACACTGTACTCTAGCCGAGGTGACAGAGCAAGACTCTGTCTTAAAAAAAAAAAAAAGGAAATTGAACCCCCTCTTCATACCCTCCCTTATTAAAAAAAAATCAGTACCTAGCTACTTAAAATCTTAACACAGTATTTGTGTGGTGAATTTACTAGGGGTGAATTCTCCATGTTTTTGCCAACTTACCACCCTCTCAGCTGTACCTAGATTGAAGCTGGGCCAATTAACTACTTCATGACAATAAGAGCATCGGTCTAATAAGTGGATACCTGGTGAAATGAGTCTAAAAGAAAAATTGCAACAAAAGGTACACCACTTCCAAGAGGCAGTAAAGCCTAGCTCTTTGAGTTTCCTAATATTAGGAAATTAGCATTAAAAACCGTTTTCTTTTAATCATTTCGCAAAAGTTGAACACTGCCTACGAGAAACTTTCTAAAGGCCCCCTTACTCTCTGTAGCCCTCCCCCTTAGCACTTGGTTTGGATAATTCCCTCGCACATCAGACTCCAGAAAGGGAAGGTGCAAGTAAAGTAAACAATGTGTTAGGTCACTTCATCATCATGTTTCTCCTTGTCCAATTTATTTCAAGTTCTGGGCCTGATTTTAATGACTAATTGCTTCCAACTTCCCAAAGTAGTTCAAATATGTTCATGTGAAGATTGCTTGGAACAAGAAGTAGAAAGTGGAGTTAAAATTAGTAAGGGTAAATAAGGGTGTAGAAACTATTTCTGTGGAAGGAAAAGGAGCAAAGGACTGGAAAAGTGAGTAAGCTATAAAGACATGGGTAGGATAATGAGTGGCTTTTTTTAAATTCAGAAAGTGTTTTCACTCATTAAGTGAAGTCTAGTACAAACGGGGAGAAATTATGAAATTACAACATCATCATGGAAAAAAAAAAAACCTTTTGAATGAATGAGGTGTCATACAAAAGGACCACAAGATTATGTAAGAATTTGGGTAGAATGAAGTTGTTGGGAGGCCAAACGGGACCTTAAAAATATTAGAAATCACCTAGTTAAACCTTCTTATTTTAAAGATGAAGACATCTGAAGTGAAGAGAAGCTACATAACTGGTACCAACTCATACTGATCAAGTGCAGCCCCAGATGGGAAACAAGATGTCCTAGCTCCTGTTTACCCCTCATCATCTCATGCTACCGGTGTGCCATGTTAACTTACCCTCTTCCTGGTCAGCAGCCTCATTATTCTCATTTTCCACATCCTGGAAGTGGAGACAACACCTTGCTTCTGTCTAGTTCACAGGAATATCACGAGGCCCAACAAGACAAAGCCAGAAACGTCCTTGGACTTCTCCTTCTGGTTGTGTAGCACTTGCCCTACCTTTGTGGCGTGGCGTTCCCCTGCCAATGCAACACTGAACAACAGCCCCTCTGGATCAGCCTATCAGAGGCCGGCAACTGCTTTTAGTAATTGGTTAAAAAGCAAACAGGCTGCACCTGCCTATTGCAAGGATCGGTCCTAGTGATTAAAGCCTTTTTCTGTTGTGCAGTCTTAGAGTGAAATATTTCTAAGACTGGCTCCAGTGGGCAGTATCAAAGCTTCTGTGGAAATCGGGTGAATGTCGATAACAAATAAGGAGCATCTGAAAGGGAAAAAGAAAGGCTAGGGCGTGTTGTGAAGCTGGAAGACAGGAAGACAGCAGTGAGTATGTAATCTTGAGATGATCAAGGAACAAGGGCAGTGTGCAGAGTTAAGAACATGGCCCTGGGTCCTGAGCTCACACCACGTCTGTCCCTGCAAGAGGCTTGACCTTGGGCAAACTGCATAATAAGCTACCTGTGCCTCAGCTTTGTCACCTGGAAACTGTGAATAAGAACAGTACCTACTTCACAGGTTATAAAGATTAAATAGACTAATACATGTTTGACACTCTCATCAATGCCTGGCACACAGTAAGTCTTCTATGAGCAGGATATATTTGCACAGGAAAGGAACAACTTTCTTAGGGATGTCAACCAGTAACCATTAATAACAGAATGCTTTTAACCTTCTCAATATGAAATACATGCTTACTGATGAACTGACAGCCCAAGCAATATATGCTCCTGTGCAGAGGGACTAAATACAACATGCCTCCCCACCCACAGCCCCACCTATGCCACGAATGAATTGAGCTCCAAAGAAAACTCTTTCAAGGGATCCTGTTGGCTGCTCAGGGCCAATGCTTTCTGGATTGGTTCTCTTTCCATCTGTCACATGAACAGGGTAATTAGCTTAAAATTTTCTCAGGTGGCCACTGCAGAAGGTGGCAAAGTTCACCCTGTGCTTTATTATGTTTCCAGAAGTCCAAGATGATTTTTAACCACCTTGACTATTTCAGGAAGAAAAAAAATACATGAATTTGGGGTTTCCTCCATCCTTTTCTCAAGTGTCTACTGAAGCATGCTGATAATGATAATGTGAGTGTAGTGCCGTGCCTCCTTTGGGGAAGAACTGTTCCCAGAGGATGCCTGGACTGGGGCAGAGCCCAGGTCCTCAGTGGCAGAGCCCTGACCATTTTCTTTTTGTTTGTTTGTTTTTAGGTCAATTTATTAAACTTCAAAGGTGCTGCTTCATTTAAAATGTCCTTCCTTTTACCAATATGAAAGTCAACCTTGAAATTTTTACTAGTTAGGGTCTTACTGTCAAATATTTCTAAAACTGGGTTCCAACAACCAGTGTTAAAGGTCCCCGGGGAAGGGATTCAATGTTGATGACAAAATAAAATAATGTAAAAGGGAAAAAGAAAGGCTGTGACTTGATTTGTGAAGCTGGGGGTTGGGGGTGGGGAGCAGCCTTTAAAGTACAGAATTTCCAGGGACACGTTTCCGAGGGTTTTGAGCTTTTTTCCAAAGTGAAGAGGAACAATATTGCTGCCCTACATGAATAATGAAAACAGAAGGCATGGAGCCCATGGAGAAAGTATTACATTGCGACTAAATTTTTCCTGATGAAAGCTCCTGATGAAGATCTAGAATCTATTAAACTGCTTATGCTGGCCAGGTGTGGTGGTTCATGCCTGTAATCCCAGCACTTTGAGAGACCAAGGGAGGAGGATGGCTTGGGGCTGGGAATTTGAGATCAGCCTGGGCAATGCAGTGAGACCTCATTTCTATAAAAAAAAAAATTTAAAGTTAGGCAGGCATGGTGGAACTTGCCTTTAGTCTTACTTTCTCAGAAAGCTGAGGCAGGAGGATCACCTGAGCCCAGGAGTTTGAGGTTGTGGAAAGCTATGCTAACACCACCATCCTCTAGCCAGAGTAACAGAGCAAGACCCCGTCTCCTTAAAAACAAAACAAAACACACCTGCCTCAGCCTCCCATGTAACTCAGGCGTGCGCCAACACACTCAGCTAATTTTTTCTATTTTCAATCGAGACAGGGTCTCTTGCTCAGGCCAACTTCAAACTCCTGAGCTCATGTGATCCTCCCACCTTGGCCTCCCAAAGTGCTAGGATTTACAGGTGTGAGCTACCGTGCCCGGCCATAAAAACGTACACATTTAAAGAGGAGAATACAAAATTTAGGGAACGTGGGGATTCACCTCAGACAAAATGAAGATGGATGAGAAGAGCAGGCATTGTGTCCCAGGTAGGCACAATGCTAGGTTATTTATGCAAGTTTTCTTTCATGTTTATCATTAACTATAAAATTAACATTTTATAGATTAGTGCCATCCAGTGCAAGTTTCCGCAAATAAAGGAAATGTTCTATTTCTGTGCCATCCAATAGAGCAGATACCAGCCACAGGTGGCCTCCAAGCACTTACAGTGTGACTCAGGAACTAATTTTTAAGTTTTTAATTTTACTTGACTTGAACTAAATTAAATGGCCACATGTGGTTAGTGACCACTATATGAGACACTACTATAGACATTAATACTGAGGTTGAAAGAAATTAGGTCAATTCTAAAATTATATAACCAGTGAATGGCAAAACCAGGATTTGAACTATTCTGTCTGATTCTAAATGTTCTTTTCATGAAAATAAGTAAAAAACAAAACAAAACAAAACAAAAAAACCCCCACTGCTCTTAAGGTCGATAGAATAGTAGCGACCTGGCTACACCACTCCCACGTGAGACCTGCTAATAAAAAAAGACCAGGAGCGGTGCCAGGACCAGTGGAAAGCAACTGCAGACCCGAAGAATCCTCTGAAGACCAGACTGACCCGAGTGGCGGCGACAGCCCAGGACCGCTGACACAGACTTGGACTGGGGTTGTGGCATCTAAAGATTGACTGGGTGACAAACATGGACGGGTCGCGGTGGGGGTTGGTTGTTGTGTTTTGGGGATGTTGTGTTTTTGGTCTAATGTTTTTGGGGTAGAGACCTACAGCTGTACTTACCGCCCCGAACCCCCACCAACCCCATAACCTTACATGGGTCTAAAGATTACTGTATAATGGTGTTAGTGTTCCCAAAAATAATATACCACACTGAGGAGACAATGTATGAGGGCATAGTAGGGCGAAGAGTCACCAACCTAATTTTTAAAAGAAAAAGAGAGCCCTTCACAGCCATAACCCTGGCTACTCTTTTTGGCTTAGGGGCAAGAGGAGCAGGAACTAGTATCTCTTCTCTGGCAATGCGGGAAAGAGGGTTTAATACTCAAGTCACTAACCTCCCTATCCGAGGTAATGCTCCAGAACCGGAGGGGGTTAGATCTAGTATTCCTCCAGCAAGGAGGACTGTATGCTGCCCTCAAAGAAGAATGTCGTTTCTATGCAGACCATACGGGAGTTGTTAGAGAATCTATAGCTAAGGTCAGGGA